TCACCGTTGTGTTTCTTGCATTTTGGGCACTGCAACGCTCTGCATCTGTTCGTTCCCTCCTGCTTCATGTATTTCCCATCCAATCTGATTTTTTTGTTTCGCTCTTTTCAGCACACAATCATATTTTACCTGCTTACTCTTTTTCTTTACTCTTAAGGAATAAGCCCATGTTTTAGTGTGTGCAGTCATTCACTTTATGCTTTGAACCTATTTTCTGTTCTTCTGGAGTTTGTACTGCTAGCACACATTCATTATTTTCCCTAGCAGTGCCGAGTTGGAAATCCTGTTCGCCGTCGCCTCAGCAACTAATGTGGATGAAGGCGCTCCCTCATCTTCTCCCACAAAACAACTGGAACCCACTTCCTCAGTGTCCGCTGTACCCCGTAGAGATGCGTCTGTCCTACTTCAGTCCACGTGAGTATCACCTTTAATTTGCTCTGTTTGTTTCTAATTGTGACTCGTTCCAACAATCGGGTGCATCGGAGATTCAGTGTTTTGGAGGTATTTCCTTGCCAGATGTTCCACGCACACACTCCTAGGATTAATTCGGTATCGTCTTCATCATTTGTGCGCGATTCAACCACAGTCAAGGCCTTTCGTGCTTTCAAATTGCCGTTATCCTCAATTTCTTTTCGTCTAGTAAGACATTCTGTTTATCCCTTCTGCTTTGAAATTCCATCTCAGGTTCGTTAATCTTCATAGTTATATGCCAGACAACTCTGACCGACAAGCAATCCACCAGCCAGAGAAAGACTTGTTATCTGCCACTTCCTCCGTCACCAACGCTGGTTCCCTTCAGTTTAAAATTCTCCTTCTCTATTGCCGACGCTTTCTGTTTTTTTATTTTTCAACAGACTATTCGCAGAAAGCGTTTTATCCTATTTTATGCACTTTTCTCAGTATGGGGAACCTTATCCATCTTGACATTGCGTGGCATTCTATTTATTCTATAACAACCGTAAGAATTACTTACGTTGGATTACTACCGTGATTATATTTGGTTCATCACAATTATATTACAAGCAACCAAGGTCAACCCTAGTTCCTGACCTGCTTGTCATCTGTAACGTACTATGAAAGTGATAGGCTGAATAGGACAGGAAGTTGTCCCGTGAGTCTGCGGAAACTTGATTCTGTCCAGTTTTGCGTTTTGGAACAAAAACCAAAGTTCTTTAAGCGCCTCCATGACGTAAACAGCTAAGCCACGCACACACCCGGTAGCACTCGCCTTGCTCTTTTCTTGCTTTGCATGTTTGGCGCTCCTGTCCAAAAAGGGTAAAAATATAAGGCGAAACAGGACAGGAACAATACCTATGAGACAACGCAAGGGTGACCCTATGCAATTTACTGTGGAGGAAACAAAACCGCTATCTGGTGATCAATCAGAACGCTCCGGGATGGACTGTATATGTTAAATTGCAGCGTACCGCTTACAATGGCGTTTGTCAATATTATTTTAGTGAAAACATTCTCCTACTACGCTTATGTATGATTAGAGCATTATGTGTGATATGTGACTGAAAGTACCACTTAAAACTAGCAGTAGACGTTAGGCCGTCGAAATACGCGGCATTCTATTTCAACACAAATCATATTCCCGCACAAGTCAATTTTGTCTGACGATGTGGTTAAACGATGTCCTTTACTGTAATGATTAAGTAGTTACATTGCGGTGAGAATGCGTCCTAATGATGTATCTATCATAAATAGGTAAACTAATATCACAAAGTAAAATAAATCTTCATTAACGGACGGGACGGTCCCCCTGTTTCCGTCCAGTTCGCTGCGATTGCTATTATAATTGTGTTATTATGGAACTACCAATCCAGAAGAGCACCAGACGTTTTTTTCTCCCTCAACAGTGGTGCGCATTCTACTGGTCCCCTTCTGGGAGTCGAACCCATGACCGTTAGGGGCCTGCACTACTGATCAGTATCTTTTTCCACTGAGCCATGGGGGGTGGGCGATAGCCGACCATCATCGATTGCAATCTAAGTGCGATATAGCCCAACGCATTCTCCACCTTGATTATCTAAAAATTGACTAACTCACCACCACTTACTAGTTGCTCAATAAAATAGGAATTCGCAGCTTCTTTGGTAAAGATGAGTACGTGAAGATAGCATCACGTTTCACTTATTCGTCACTTCGATATGTTTAGCTCTCCCACATTCATTAATGACAACCTTTTTGAGCCAATGAGTCTCTTCCTTAGTCTCTGTTGAGCAGCTCACCCTAGCTGGACTGGTTATCAGCTAATCAGCGGCGCTGTTTAGACGGACGACTTCACCTGCTGCTTCTAATCAATGGATCCATTATGCTGGACTTCCATTGGCTGTCTGATTCGTTCCTCAGATCCATCGGCTCGCTCCGACTAGATACTATCTACACACATTTCCGTCCATTTGGGTCCCTAGTTGTTTTTGTTTAATTGGATAGGTTATATGTTCTTTACTCATCTGAATTCACTTCTTCTACATCCTTTTTAACTTCCGCCCCATTAGTCTTGTGCTTGACGAATGCCTCACGCTTGTGTATATGCACCACCTAACTAGGGCTTGGCTCTCATATTGCTAGCGACTGATGGTATAAAAGTGCATCGCTCTCATTTCATCCAGCCGCTATCGAGGCATTGATGCATATGCGCGAGTCAGCATTTTTAACTGTCATTTTTGCTGGCTCGCCGAACGACCTCCCCGTGGTGCCAACTGGGGGGTACGGGCTAATCCCTTTCCAGCCATTGGTTCAGCGGCAGTGTTCCAGGACGTGGTGGGTTAACGTTTGGCAAGCGTCCACCCTATAAAAAGCCGCATAAGTCTGTTTAACGACACTGCGACGTGGCGGATATGACTCGCCATTAAATAACGTCACCGCCCTTCACTTATCCAGATCATCTTCCTCACTCCATAGACGTCACTCCTCCAAGCCGAAGAGTTCCTTCGAACCCCACCCACGCTGGCGACCTGATTGAACACAGCACCAAATTAACACTATCAGGCAATACAGAAACGTAAATTCATACCTACATTCAATCATATACACATATGCACATAGATCCAGTACGTTACTGGTTATTTTTCATTTTTGTACGATTACCTTTTAATCCTGTTTGTATTACTATGATCATGCCTTTACAGGAGTGCCTCGCACTGTTGAGAATAAAAATGTTCTTTATTTATTTACTTATGTGTGGGGAACTGAGTCACATGCAACTAAAGTACACCAATTCTGACGGTTTCACTGCCGTTTTGTGTTCCATTGTCCCAGAAACAACACATCTCCGTCTTCAGTTGACGCTTGACCTCCATCATGTGTGTCTGCATCTCTAGTTTTTATACTTGATTATAAACTACCATCAATCGTTTCTCCGTTTCTTCTTCATCATTTCATGCTGTCGTTATACGTAGGTGCACTGCTGTCCCCGAAAATACCGCCCGTGTCACACCCTTACTACCCTCGGAGCCATATGAAGGTACGTTCTGCTTAATCTTTATTTATAATGCTATCAGTGGATTACGTTTGCTACCAGAATGCCTTTTCTGCTTTTGCCTTGCTCGTTGTCGCGTCGTGCGGTTGTACCCATCTTACCGACATTTTAAGTTTAGAATTTAATGCACTGTTGCATGCACTATGTGACTTTTTTTAGTTTTATGGTCTGTTATGTTTTCTCTTTTTTGTATTACGGCACATTAGCTGAGTTGTGTTTCTCACCCTCAGCTGACGTGTATTGATGATGAGGCTGATTTCTCATAGTTAACTTTCCTCATTTCTTCATTCTGTAGCTGTTCCCAACCCGGAGCGTACTTCCGAGACTCGGCGCATTGTTAGGCGTGCCTTACTTCGAAGGAGAAATCGTTCACCGAGGCCGCCTATTCAAGCCTACAATATAAAACCCTTACCTTTTGCCTCTTTCAATTTCAAAATACGAATTAGTCGTTTACAGCTGGATTCTCTTTTCGACAAGTAAGCTCCGTTTGAGTTTATCTCCCGTTCCGTTTTCCAACTACACACGTATAGCTTACTCATATTCTAGTCTGACTAATCTTCTGTGTTATACCAGTCGGGTTTTAGTACCCAAATCTATCTAACGGTCCCTTCTACTGGCTCCTTTCGTCTTGTCATTTTAAACCACTCGCCACACTACATTGGTTCAAATGTTCATGTGGAACTTCACGGACCAAATCGGTTGTCTTTTCACATCCTCTAAGCCATCTCCTTATGCTCCGAGAACGTAACAGCGTGGGTCTCATCCACCATATCGATGGACAAAAATTCATCACATGCAGCAAATTGTCACACTCGGAAGGTCCTGACAACATTCCCCCTATAGTTATGAAAGTCGGCGGGGATGACATGCCTCTGCTATTGTTGGGTATGTTCAATCAACCCGTGAACACCGGCTCCATTTCATAGTTGTGCTGGTCCTAAATCAGGCCCCTGTTCGAGACTAAGAATTATCGCCCAATAAGCTATGCTGTCTGTGGTTCGTGGTCCTGAAACCACTGAATGTTTCAGGACATCCATTGTATGGCAGCCACTTTGTTTCCCCCTCCCCCCAGGTTTATGTGGCTACTTCGTGACCATCGGGAAACTATAGTTCTTCAAATATGTTCTGGCTTCGCTCCAGTTTAGACGGCACTGATCACACCTCTGCACTAGGGACTCGAGCGACGTCATGCCTATATGCCGTCTCTACCACAGCCGTCTTTCTAGACGTCGACCGCCACCTTTCGTACTATTTATCGTTTTTATTTCTATCAGTGTCGTTCTTTAAAAGACATACCAGAGGCTGAGATTTTGTTCTGTTTTCCGATTTATTACTGACATACCAGAGGCATTTCTTGTTGCTTTGAAGTTTCCACACTGCAATCTTTTGCGCCGTATGCTCACGGTCCTTTGTCTTCTGGGTTCAGCGAAGCAAAGAAAGCAAAGCAGCGAAGCAAAAAGGAGAAGACAACTGCCAGCAATTAGCAGCGTTGTAACCTTATGATATTACAGGCGCTTGAGTCGACAGATGCTAGTCCTTAGGCTCGTTATGACCACGATGTGGATTTTATGCAGAGCTTGGTTGGATAGCCTTCTAGACATGAATGAACGGGGTTGCGGGTGAAGCAAATCACCCGTCTAATAAAAGAGAGGAGGGGAAATCCCGGCGTCTGCGAGTCACATTTATTGATGCAACGAGTCCGAGGCTGATACTATCCCGCCTCGGTAGTCTAAGAGATCGAAATATCCATATTCGTTTCAATTTGATCCGTCGGACAGAGAGAAACTGAAGTCCGTAATCGTGGAGTTGAAACGGCGGACTGATAGTGGAGAAACCAATTTCCACATTGTAAATCTTCGGGTAGTTCCCCGGGGTCCGCCGAACCCGAATCAGCAGGTCGATGACGCTTCATGCGCGTCCGTCACTTTATATCGCGGCCTGCACGTAGCCTTCACAAATGTTTGTAGTTTAATGAACAAACGTGACGATATATTTCACTTCATTGCCTAACGTCGACCGGGTTAACTAGGGCTGGCTGAAACCTGGTTCAATCCTGAGGTCACTAGCCGGGAAGCTGGTGTATGTCAAATTCGCGGTATGTTTTAGTAGCTCCCAACGGCGTCGCCAGAAACCTCTTGACGTAACTAAGCTTTCTGTCCCGAACGTTCTCTGCGCATTTCATGATGCCTTGTCCTCGAGGCTAGAGACTGCCTTATGCACAGATAATGAAACACACTGGACACACCTCCGCGGCGCCATGTACAACTCTGAAACCCTGGTCTGTGGTTTAAGCAGTAGTCCTCTCAACCACTGGATCTCTGCACGATCCATCCATCTTCTTGAAGCCCGTCGAGCAATTTTTGCTAACCTTAAATACCATTCACTGTGCAAGATTACTAATGCTGAGCTCAAACAGATTCTCCGGGAAGATTGTGAGGCCTGGTGGATGCAGCAGGTCATTGAAATGGAGCAAGTGGTCACCTCAGGGAATTTCCGTAAGCTTTTCCCCCTGATCCGATCTGTTGGTGGCAAAAGGCTGACTGTAAGCGGAGTTTTATACGAAACCAATGGCGAGCCAATTCACTGTCAGAAACGCCGACTCGAGTGTTGGTCGAGCATTCCGAACAGCAGTTTACTTGGCCAGCAGCACAATTGAGTTCCCATTCTGGAGTCCAGAGCACTCCCTTGTATGTAGACGCTTCAACACCATCCGAGGCTAAGGTTGCCTATGAGCTTCGTCTCTTAAAGTGCTACAAAGCCCCTGGCCCAAATGAACCCCCTCTGGCTCTTTTCAAAGCTGGCGGCCCATCACTTGTTCAGGAGTTAACTTCTCTCCTCCAAGGGTTCTGGGTCACCGAAGTTATCCCATCTTATTGGAGCCTAGCAGATATCGTGCCCGTCCTCAAAAAGGGTACCCGAACTGACTGCGCCAACCAGAGAGGGATTAGTCTCATTTGTGTTGCTTCCAAGGTGGTCGCAGCTCTGATTCTAAGGAGACTCATCCTTGTACGCGAACAGTGCATACGTGAAGAGCAAGCTTGTTCCACTCAGGGCGGAGTTGCATCGATCACATCTTTACACTCTGCCAAATGCTCGATCGTCGCCAAACATTTGGCTGGCCAATGATCGTTGTCTTCTTAGCCATACGAGCTGCGTTGACTCAGTCGACAGAGCTGCTCTCTGGAATTGTCTACTGAAATGGAGAGTGCTCGAGAATTGTGTCACTTTACTTCAAGTCACCTACTCTCGAACCTCGAGCCGAGTGCGGGTGTACGGCGACTTTCACCCCCCTTTAGTATCACCAGTGTCGTGAAAGGGAATTGTCCAGCATTCTCTCTCTTTTTCAATTTCGCTAAGGCCGAAATCTTGGAGAGTGCCCTGGAGAACTGCCAACCCAGCGGCGTCGAGCTGCTTCCGGAGGACCAACTTCGGGGTTTGGAGTATGCAGACGACATCTCCGTAATCTGGGATTCCTTATAGGGCGCCCAAAATGTCCTAGGAGGGCTTTGTTCAGTCTACCAAGTGTAGGGTGGCGCAAGGCTCGAGGTGAACAGAAGTTGACTTGGCAGCGCGAAATGAAGTCATTGACAACAAACTGGGGCCGTTGGTCCGTCTCGCTTTCCGTGCTGGAGTCCACGTGACTCGCCTTGTGCTTGGCTCGAGACTTACAGGACATGGCTCGCAACCGACACCAGTGGTGCGTCTGCTGCCATCTCTTAGTCGAATTTCCTGTTTAATATGTGTTTGGTGCTGAGTTATTTGCGGGGTAATGGCTGATTATGACTCGGAATACTGAAAGCCGCAAGGAGGCTGTCTCACCGATGCCGCCTTATCTTTGCACGATAGCCAGCTGTTTGTAACGATAAGTTGTCTACATACGGTTTAGGCGCCTTGACTCTCAATGTTTGTTTAATGCATTAAGGTTCTCAGGTAAGTCCCCCTTCTCTCCCTTTACTTATTCATTATTTCATTGGTCCTCATGGTTGTATGGCAGCGAAGCATTAGTTCAGATGGCTGATGTACTGCCCAAAATGTCCAGTATAGGTTGGAGGTGTCTGTCTCACAGTTAGGAATGACCTTCGCACCATCGAAATGCAAGGTTTTCCTGCAGGACTGGCTAGGCGCTGCTCCTACCCTTGTCTCTTTACGTCATTCATTGGAAGTGGTGGATAAATACGTTTATTTCGGAAGCTGCCTCAGCGCTAATGGTTTGACGGACGAGGTTTCTTTGCGCGTCTACAAGGCTCGTGTTGCTTTTGCCAATCTCCGCCATCTCTGGCGTCGAGATGTTCTGAGTTCCATCTCTGAAGGGCCAAGTTAACACTGCCACAATGAGAGAGGTACTGCTCTTTGGCTGCGAGACGTAGCCTGTTCGCGCAAAAGATGTTGAGAAGCTGTCTGTTTTTGATCACCGCTGCCTTCGGAGCATTACTGGTTTACGTTGGCAACAACACACTAGTAATGAAGATGTTTGACAGTGGATTTTCAGATCAGACAGATTTTGCCGGCCACTGAGCGGCATAATTTCTCTGCGCAGAGTTCAGTGGCTTAGACATGTTTTTCGCATGCTTACTCATCGCTTCCCCCGCCGTGCTCTCTTCGCGCTCAACAGTCCTCTGGAAGCCAAAACAAGGTGGCCAACGAATGACTTTGACCAGGAGCATGAAGGAGCTAACGTCAATGTTAGTCGCGGTCGGACGCTCGGCTCCATAACTGGAGTGTGAAGGATCCGGAACGCATGGCTCGAACCACTTTCGAATATGGCGAGAAACCGTGCGCAGTGGCGGACCAGTTGTGTTTCTCTATTCCCCGGAACACTGCTTTTTCCTCTCCTTTCGTTTGTTTATTGTCTTTTCCGTATGTTGTGGCACTATGCCAATGGTACTGTTGGCCATGTTGAATATATATATATATATATATATATATGGCACGCAAATGCGGACTATATAATCTGCCTCTCAATTCAGTAGCATAAATAAAGAATTGTGCCAAAACCGAAGCGTTGTCAACCCAAAATATCCGGCGATTGTTTTCAAGATTTTACGAATTCACCAGCTCTCCATCGGGTCCGCCCATATTTTATCATTTTATATAACAGTTTGCTTGCATTTGTGGAACGTACTCAGCCGCAACTTGTGTCTTTAGAGCCCATTCCGATGTGCTTGAGGCCGTTCACATTCAGCCTTGGAGGAACCAGAGCAGTTCATTTATGATTCTCGATCGCGTCACTACTTGATTGCGACCGCGGCCAGCCGCTGACTAGATTTTTTGAATATGCACCCTATTGTTTCGAGGCTGATGCCCTTTCCCTTTACTCATAGACATCTATGTAGCCGGCATGTTCATCACCACAAAACATGAACCTACGAACCGCAACTCATCCACTTCTATGGCCTCATTTTGTTATGTGCCAGCCTTCACTCTCTTCGTTTTCTCGCATAAGCTGGACGTCTTGGCTGACTCTATTTGCTCTGTAAACATGTAGGTGCCTAGTGACATTAGGAACGTTCCACCCAGATTAGTTCAATACTTCGTGGAATCAAGTGAACCATCACACTTCTGTTCTATCCAGTCCTGTGTAATAGGTTCTAGGAAAGAATGAGTTCATTTCTTGTGTTAGCAAACAAATCAGTATCTTATGCCCCCTGTGATTGCTCCTTTTACCTGTGCTAACTGGTTTCTCCAATTCAGACAATCCGAACTCCACAAAACTTCGTCTAGATTTCGTGCTCCTTAATCTCGGGAACGCCGATGACCACTGGGGTTAGTTGCTGTATTCGCCTCAGTCATAGTTGGTACCGATGAACCACCTGACACCCTAAGGTAGCTAACTAGCTGTGTGGCCAGATTGATCTCATCTCTATAGGGTTCCGGGGATGCGGCTTTCTTCCTCGCTGTCGTTCGCTTCGTAGCATCTTCGCGTGTTAGTCTCTACTGTATGAAACCCACGTGTTCGGTCATGTCGCTAGGCATAGACTCATTTCTACATGGGATAATCGCGAAGCCATTAACATCCGGGTCTTTGCTTCTACCCATTAAACTTTGATTTACATCTCCGATGCGTGCTTGCGTTCTCCTCCTCTTCTTTTTCTTACTATTCTTGTTCTTTTCTTACTGTTATGTGACCATTGCAGCGAAAGAAGCCATGGCAGCCGGATACATCACTGTCCATTATCCCGATCATTCTTTCTCTACTGATATCTCGATGTGCTGCCATTTAACAACCGAGTAACTGTCACACAACATTGTTAAGCAAGTTCACTAAAATGCCATGCAGTTTACCTGCTTGTATGTTTTAGTTACATAGCGCTTGTTGCTGTGCAAAGCACCGGAATTTCTACTCGAGTTGCAGTCGTTCGTTTTGAGCTCGGGAACTGAATTTTTTAATTACTCGGTGAACTTGTTGGTGTCCAGAACTTCCCTCTTGTATCTGCGGATTATGCCTTTTAAGCTTTCGTGGATGAACCACAACACGAAGACGGAAGAAATGAGATTGGTAAAAAAAAAGTTAAGTAACAGGAACGTCAAACAACTAATACAGTTTTTCCTCTGTTTACTACTACCGTTTCTGAAGAATCATATGCAAGTGGGACAACTCAGCCAGCACATTACTGATGAAGAACACTGCCTCTCCGGATTGGTCATCATGCACTCAGAAGTGGCTCAGTTGGCCACCTGTCTGCCGTCAGTCGTTCTACGCTCAGATGGCGCCGGGGAAACCACGCACTCGCTGCTTATTTTCTATGCCTGCGCTTGAGGTCCTCAATACACACGAAACCAACCGGTTCCACATCTTTTGCTTCAGATAATCTCGTGAACCCAGCATTTTGGAATTCTGTAGTATGCTTTACTATTATTCTGTTGATTTATTTGACTATCTGTATGATGGATTTGTGGTGACAGCCAATTGCGCTATGACACGCTAGGTTTGATACGAGTGTATGTAGGAAGTTATTCCCGGAGTTTACTACGATAACTGTGGTTTACTTGACCTCTCTAGTCCCTCCTTTCCCATTCCGTTCAGTGCCCGTGAAGTTACTATTTCGCTTGCTTTTTTGCAGTAAAATGTATTGTTGTTGATTATGTGTTACCCTCATTGCAAGCTGTTGTTATAACTCTTCTTCGTTGGCCTCAGAATGTTGCGTACTTTGGCATGCGCCTCTCAATTTCAAGGGACAACTAAATGCAATCCTTGCTGGCACCATTCATCCAATGGCCGGTGCAAATGGCTAGTGGATTTACTTATCTCTTGTGACCAACATAAAGACTGTACTGATGACCCATACTGTTTTGCAGACTTAGGACCTCAACGTTGGCCACATTCTGTGTTGGAACCACCGTACTAAATGACACAGTCGCTTGCTCCGTGGCTCTGACACATTCAGTCACCTTTTACGTCTTTACTCTTCAGTGTTGTATTGCGTACTTCACTTTTTATTTTGTGCCTCGTTTCGTTCGTCCTTGTTGCTTTTCTCCACCACTCGAACTCCAGTATTGACCATTGGATCCTCTCTTTTCTGCATTGTTTTTAGTGCAGTTGAAACACGGACTTGTTTACTGTACCATCTTATCCACTTCTGCTTTATTACGGGTGTGTTTAGTGGCTCAACTTTTACAATTACATTGTTCACTTGCATTTTCCATACGATCTCTCTCCGCCTCACATACTCTTTATGTGTGGTCCTATAATATGTACCGTCGACTACTATGAATCCTCCTTCCCCATCTTCTTTTCTTAAGTTCTTCTGCACTCGAGTCTGCTCTGAGTATCCTCCTGTCCTTTCTCGTCTCCGTGACTGGCTATCTCCTACTACGGACTGGCTCGTTTCAGAACATTAGCGTGCTCGTCTGCTGCTTCACCATCGCTGGCTGCCACTATTCGCTCATCAAAAGTGTCCAACCCGATGCCGCCTCACCGTTGCATGGTTTCAACCGCATCATCCTCTACTCGCGCGCCAGTTGCTTTTGTGGCCTGGCTGTTCTTTACTTGCTCACCGCGACCACGCTGTCTCCCGTCCCTTTGCTAAATTCAGCCCAGCCACTGGTTTTACGCCCTGCCACTGTGAACGCCGGCGAATTGGGCGTCATCAACGATCACATCTACTTCTCTTCCGACCAGCCCCTTCTACCTCTTTTGGGTGCGATACCAGTCACTCTCCCACTTCCTCATCGTCTTTTGCCTACTCCTCCTCTGCTTCAGTTGCCAAAAGAGAGAAGTACATCCATACCCACAAACATCGACACACTGTTACTCTTTGGTTCCCCGTGGTCAATGAGACGTCTTCAATCCATGGTTCGGTCCATTTCGTTTTGCTTGCTGTTGCTATACCCACTGTTGTTTCCATTAGGCTTGATTCCTCAGCTTGATACCGCATTTACTTACCTGTTGGAACAGTTGGACATCCATGTGTTTGGTGGAAGCGGTACGTTTATCACAGTCTCGTTTGGCGACTACTTCTCTAACCTCGGTTGACTTACATTCACTCAGTTGATGAACCATTATTGCTTTCATTGGTCTGTCTGTTGTTGAAACAGAACATCCATATTATTTCGTTGATTACCACCGCTTCTTCCTGTTGCGTTTGGTTTTTATCCATCTTTTCCATCGGACACCCTTGGTTCGTCTGCACCACCCTTCCATGCGTTGACGAAAGCTCTCATGAGAACTACGTAACTTTGAGCTCTTAAGCGGCGTGGTTTACAGTGTGCAACTTAATTTATCTACACCCTGCTATTGTTTCTAATAAGATGCTGTTGTAACCCATACCTATTGACCGCTAATTGTTTTTGCAGTGGAAAATGTCACTCGCGCTAGCCGGTCTGTTACATCCGTAGCACACAACTTAAGCTTACCCAAAACGAAACGAAGATACGCATGAGTACCTTCCTTTTTATGATCGACTACTTGCTCTCAGACACCTACCGCGAGACAAGGAATCAGTTGTATACAGTTCTTTTAGACACCTAAAGGTTGTTCAACGAACCTTCGTAATTCACTCCACCCGAAGAATACAAACGGGATTTTGATTGGAATCTAGTCTATTTGGAATACACGATCTCAGTGTACGCTTAAACGAAATGAACTAAGTGTTGTGTCCTCCGCTTTGCAGGTGCGTCTTATTCCCTAGCTCCTTTGTCGCGTAAATTTATTAGAAAAATTTGCACGTCAGTGGGCAATCTCTTTTTATTGTATTTCAGTAGCTCCATTGTTCCTAGACTCATGCTTACACCTCGGCCTTAGTTTGTTTCGTGCAGTATTCGTCCTACAGTTCACCATTCATTGTAGCCCCCGCCTGTCGGCAGTTTGTGCCTGCTCCGGCGAGGTAAATACACTCCGCTTTTTGAGGAGATCATTACTCTCACTATTCGTTTACTCCAATGAGCTGATGAGACACACTACATCCATTTGACGATTTTGCGGTGATTCAGTGACACCCATATTGTGCGTGTAATTACTTGACATCAAACGACCGTTTTTACAAAAACTGTGTTTGCATTGGTAGCGGATATGACTCACCGGTATCGTACAGGTTCCATCCAATGGTTCCCAACGCACGTAACCGGCCTCAGTGATTAGAGACAGCCTGATGGTATGATACAGTACTCACAATGATTACTTCCTCGTTGTGGCGCGATTGCTGGAGTGTTTCGCACACCTAACTACTATGTACAATGAGAACGATTCCTCCACGTTGTGTTTCTTCAACAGAAAATGGTCACGTCAGTCTCACTGTTGTACCCTAAGAAAACCTGCTTTTTCATGTACATCTCTCACTTCTAAATCTGATCATCATGAAATCTCCTGGATTCAAGATTGATTGCGCCGCTTTTTCCTGTGTGCCTACACACTGTACAACTCAACATTTACTGATGATGCTATCTACTAAGTGGCTCGTAAAAACTTAAGCTGCGCGAACAAATTCTAGAGGACACCGATGTGTGTTCTAGTTGTGGTCCAGTTCATCGTCTTATCTGCGCTGTTCACACATCCGACTTGTTGTTGTCGTCGCTTATCGGCAGGTAGCCGAAGACGTGAGGTAACCCAAAGGTCGCAGGTTTGAATCTGCGCAAACACGAGCAATCTTGCAGTACACTTACTCTGTGCGCAACTGGTTGTTATCACATGGCAGCGAAGCGTCGGTGATGTGCGCCGGCGTACTGGTGATGCTGACTTCCTCTTCATATGCTTTTAATCAAAGCATTATCGAAACTGCCCATAATCATGTCTCGTTGCGTCTCCGTTATCGTATCTGTATCCGTGTGCTTTCTTCTATGCACCACAATAAACATTTCAGTTCTTCTACGCACTATGGGTCCCACTTATTTTCCGTTTTCCGCCCCCTGCGTCTCACTCCGTTCCGTCTGGGTGCATGCTATTCGGATGATTTGTTCTTCTTTACGATTTCTGCTGCTTTTTCTGCTCGAGTTTCTTCCACAGCCGTTCGCCCTTTCTTATCTTACATTGTTGCATCCCTTACCAACCCACATTCAGGATCGGCCGGGTTGGTGTCGGTTGCCTTCTCCCTGTTTCGTAACGTGTTTGTCGTGTCTGCGACCTTCTGGTTTTGTTACACTGCTGTTAAGGTAAGTCTACTCAATTCCTTTTTCCTTTCCCCTGCTTGATTTGAATTTATGTTTAACCATTTTACAAGGCACTCAGACTGGCTATCTTCAAGTACCCCCGGTTTTTCTTATCCCGTCACAGTTTGCTTGCGATGAATTTCTACTTCCCTTAACATTTTTAGTTCAACAAAGCCTAATCCATTATAAATTAATAACTAATTAACTAAAAGGTATATTCCTCGACTGTACGAGGCACAGTCCAATTGATTGGTCTGGTCATTCTGTACAATGGAATCGCATGGAGGGATAATATTACTTCGTTCTTTTTTTAGAGCAGTTCCCAAACTATTTTGCGAGGCTGATTGTTCGGTTGCATCTTCCAAATAGATGGATGGATTAGTAATAATAATAATAAGTGCATATGAATCTAAATCTTCCAGTAAAGTAATACAGCTACCGTGGTTCCGTCTCCAGGGGACCTGCTTCCATGCAGGCCAGTCCCTCGCAAAATTTACCCGCAATTTCATGTCTGATGTGGCCGTGTGCTGGTGTGGCTTTAAAGCAGGTTTGCCATCACCGGATGTACTCATCTTCAGGGCTTTTTTAAGTATGTGTATATGTGGACAATTAAACCATATAGCCCGTACCATCAGTCGGCTTTTGAGACAAGCACTTTTATTACTCGTCAAAGACTCTATGGTATATTGCTTCGCATGGGTTCATCGATTAGTTTGGAAGCTAAAATCCGCCACCACAGGAGATCGACCTAGTCCTGGCCAACAGTGGAGTAGAGAAGAATATAGCATATGAAGAGGTGGTAAAGTAATTACGGTAGTGATGATAAATAAGAAGCTATTGTATTTAACTACCGTAGAGAAAAGCCGCTAGATTTCGTGATCAGATTGTGCGGTGCGATCGTCTTACTAGGTAGCTTCTCGGATTATCGATATGCGAAGCAGTTCTGCAAGGAATCTTCAGGTTTCTCCGACCGTTGCCTGTATTCGTAAAATACAGTATTTGGTGTCGCGGAGACCTGAGAATTGCTCTCTGCTTCTTAGCTGTTACTCTCGGGTAAGTAGAAGAAATATCTAAATGTACAAGGCGAATATAAAGCAAAGTAAACGAAAAATTGCAGTTTGTATCTCCATGATGTGAGATACGAATTGTGGTTAATCTGGTCGGATTTTACAACTAGATGCTTGAAAATAGTTTCTGTTCAAGTTGTCAAAAGAACAGTGGTTCCGGATCGATGCATCACTGACAGCTGTGGTGTGTGGGAATTCACATTGACGGATGGCATAAAGCACTCTGTACTTTTGTGCTGATACTCCTGGGTAGGAAACAGAATTGGTTAGAAATACGGAAAACGGTTCGTACATAAATAAATAAATGCTACGATGATTGCAGACTAGAAACAATTCGTCAAAATTTATTAGCTATATCTATATGTTATGTTTTCCAGGTCTCCGTGTGATACTTTCCTGTATTGTTGCGCCGCAAGCCAGAATGGTTTCTTGAGGCCAACAATTACGGAGTGTTAAAATATCGAATACGGGAAGATAGGATGGTGGCGATTGATACCATATCTTAGCTATCTGCATGACCGTTTTCGTATGCCATCTCCTCCGTGACATTTTGTTTCACTAGCTCGGTGGCCTATTTAGCAGTAAACAAGGTGCGGATCTCCTTACGAAAGATTTCAGGTGATGTACATTATCGCAGCTTGGATGACAGTCTGTTCCGTATGTGCATAAACCTTCACGTACATGTTCGTACGGGCTTTTCTGTTTTCAACAAGTTGTGACTGTCTCAAACACTATAGTTTGGCCCATCTTTGAATTTTAAATCCAGGCTTGGGGAAAGAACTCACTTGTGTATGATATTGAATAAAACACTTATTTTTCATCGTAAATGTGACTTGCAACCATAGTTACAACCATTTGTTGCTTATAAATAGTGCACAGCCGTGCCAACCGGCAGTAAGCACGTATTACCATATTATGTCTATCGGATTTCGCTCTGCATCTGATGTGCTTGTATTTCGCTAAGGTTAGGGAACATCCGGTTGAGTGCAGTTTCGCTCATTCACTTATTTCAACATCCGGTTTTTCACAGTATTACCCCACCTACTAAATCCAGTATTACTTGATTCAACTAATGCTTATTCTCTTTGTTTTTTAGGTTGGAAGTCCGCGTGATCTCCGGTGTTCCTTATTTTGGGGTGTCTACTTACCCTCTTGCTACCTACTCAGCCGACTCCCCTCGGACTTCCACCTTTACACTGCTTTGCTCCCTTCCCGTGCACAATGTGCTCTTTGGCGGTCCCGTGCGCATACCTGTTTGCTTCGTCTCTTCCACTCCTGTGCTACTGTTTTCGCTCCAAAGAAACTCAATCAGCCTCGACTCCGCAGTGTGCACGCGCTCTCACACGGCCTCTGCTTGGCCAGTCACAAGTTAGATGGAAAATCGCCAGTACATTCCGCATGGCGTTATTTGCTCCATTTTCTACCAGAAACGAATAAGAAATGCTCCTTAAGGACCGCACCCATTGTGGCGAACCGCACTGTGCCCGCACTTCCCAATCGAGCCTCTACAGATCCGATGCATGCTGCCACCGCAGGTGACACAAATATTTATTTAATCACTTTTTTTGTCACGACGAATATTTGAAGGTGCTGACCGAGTAGTTGACAGGATATTGATTCTACTGTGGTTTCATGCGGCATTCAGCTGCACGTCTCCACTGATCGGCACACTTTATTGAGCACAACTTCCATGGTACTATCACTGAGGACTTTACCTAATCTGTGGACAAAACCTTTACATTTGAATTAACCACCTCGTAAAATATCCCAAAACTTATAATTTATCTTATCTGCAGCAAGCTTGCTCTTTTCCTGTCATCTTGTGTGATGCTCAAATATCGTTTGATTTCATTAGTTTTAGTCTCCTTTAAAGCATTATAGTATTAAGATATTTGCTTTTGACCTCTTATTATCCTAGCCTCATCAGGAAGGAGATGTATATCATCTCCTGCTCTACTAAATGAATTTCTCGATCCGACTAGCTCATCTTCGGGGGCGAAATTCATTCTGCGTGCCACCTCCACTGAGCTCATTCCCGAACTACACCAACGCGGGACTACTTCGTCTAAAACACCCCCAGTTTTCAACTCTTTGAAGCCACTGAAAATGATCCCAGATACTAAGAACTTGGTTAGTCGATCCAACTCTCCGGTCAGTGCACAACCAGACAAGTTGCCCTGTGGTCGGCGGTTCAAATCAATCCCCTGCGGCTCTCACGAGCGGCATTCACAACAAAGTTCCGTTCAAGTTGTGCCTGAGGAAACGGAGATGACTACCAAGCTCGCTTTCCACCAACGCGGCCGCACTGCTCAATCCACTTCCACGGGGAGTGAACTGAGCACGGCTTGGAAAGAGAACAAAATCCCGCAACATCAAAATGACCCGCTTCCTAAACTAATGTGTGATGCTATGCTTCGCAGGTTGGAAAACGACCTTATATGCTGTTGTGCATCGGGGTTGGCAATTTTTGCTTTTCACTGCAGCCCACTGCTTGATATTGCAATGTATCAACCGTACATTTGTCGGATCACCATTTGGACTACTGTGTTGTGCGGGGCATTTCTTCACTACGTTGTGCCAAACTTACGAAAGGTTAGTTGCTCATCTTTTTCGACTTTCCTAGCTTGGTCTCAGCGATTTCACGAGTGAACCGGTTTGCTCATGGTTTTAAACTTTTTTATTCCTTTCGCTCAGTATATTTCGATTTATTTTTCGCAATTGTTCTCCAAGCATCCAAGTACACTAGATCCAGATGCTCGGATTCACTTCCTCACCACATTAGTAATGTTGAGGATAACAGTAGAGAACGCAAGCTGAATGCAAAGGAGCTGGTCTGCGGAAGTTGTGGGGCAAAATTAACGATATAAGTCCTAATTGCTGTATTTAACAGGTCTAATACTTATCGCTTTTAACTCTTCTACGGCATGATGTTAGACGAGGTCCATTACAGTGATGTGGATGGCCTCAAGATTTTCACCCACAGCTCGGTCAATTTCTTCATGCCTTTATGCCACGCATCGACGGGACATCTTACGTTTTCGCCCCATTAGGCGGGGCGGCAGCACACAATGTACACTGTGGAACGCGGTATATGGGCATACGGAGGACATGACCCAGCCAACGTATGTGACTCAAGTTTACCAGACATGCCAGTAAGACACTAGAGATTTTCTTGCCAAACACCAATTGCCAGAATTTAGCATTGCTTACCCAGTCCCATGCTGATACATCATCAGTACTTTGCAAGCAATAATCACGCGCAGTACGGACAATGGGATTACCAGGCTCATATTCTCGTTCATCTTCTGTGGTAATCGGAAGCCCGTCTATCGGCCGCCGCAATAGGAGTGTCGTATGTGCGAATCTGATCTCTTTTACGGCCACTTGTTTCCCCATCCTCCACCTCATATTGATGGTGTATTCCTTGTTCCCAGATACTATAGAGTTGAGCAGTGTGGCTTTCAGGTGCATGTGAACACTAAATCTCCATTGCCGCACCACTTGGCGTCCTCGGAACAATTACATCAATACGTTTTTCCAATCCACGAATGCATCTCCAGCCCACGAAATGAAATCCATACCAATCATTATTTTGTCTTTCCGGTGAATATCACGTTTTCTCATGAACCCACAGAATGGTCTTCACAGATGTGGCACCTCCATGAATACGCCACCTTAAATTCGTTGAAAGGTTGCGCTACTGCTTTTCTATTACGAAGATTATTTTTATTTTATGTGACCGGGTTTTCGTTTGCAACGATTCGCACTGATTATTCACCCAGTACGGTAACACAGTTGTTGATACTGAGTAGAATATAGCGGGGGCGGCATCAGCATTACTCTGGCACACCGTACCGACGATTCACTAACACACTATCGCTTGCGCCTAGGCGGGGTATACCGCGACGTTGGCTGCACCTACGCGATCAGCACTCGCACCGGATTTCAAACGTGGTCTGTTACATTAGTTTTCTTCAATCAAATTTGTGAAGGGCTACCCTGTTCTTTGCACGGCAGTAACATAAAAGTTAGTGGATAGTGGGCGGCGCTATATCACATCTAGGAACTCATTCACGACGATCGTTGCCGTTCCCCGTAGCTCAGCAGTCTCAATCACGGACTGGTGACAGTCGCGTTGTGGCTTTGAGCCCTCCCAGGTCAGATGGAATGTGCACTGCCGACAATTCCCGAAAGGATGAAACGCGTACAGTGCTTTTCTTGCGCATGATGGCTGTCTGAGTGAGTCTAGATGTGATGAATTTATACCTATACCATTCAATCACCCTTCTACTCCTCTGTACATATGACACCATTCCTTTTCAGTTCCAATTATTACCTCCAAATTTTAACCTTCGTTCCCCTAAATCCAGCCGTGTTCTCTTCTGTCGGATTTATTTCTATACGTTTGCCTGATCTCTGTTATTTCTCCACCACTGCAGTCCAATAGTATCAGGATGCGGTAGCTCGCAACAGACTTGTTGTCAACATTCGGTGAACGGAGCTTTGTTCACCTACCAAATTAATCTACTTTTACAGTTATGTACCACCGGAGACACTTCTCTTGTTCGCTCGATTCGGCCGTTCCAGTTTTAATGTGACTTGACCTTCCCTCTAGTTTCGTATACACACGATTACGCACCTAGTAGGTACCGAGGAGGAACGATTCGTCATCTTTATTGTACGCGCAACTTTTAGAAGATGATTACTGACGACAACACACATTGGTGCATCTTCACGTTTTAGTATACGAGGAACACGCACCACTCACGAGACCCAGTAGGTCGAAACGGCTATCTGGTACTTTTCCAGACGTGTGGAAATCTGCCTCGCTGAGAGGCGACTGCGACCAACTACATCAGTCATTGTTGTATTCTTATCTAACCTACTGGTCGACAACTTAGCCGTGATACCCATGGTTAGCGGCATCCGGTTTCGGATTTGCCTGTCACTGTGGCAAGCCACAAGACGCCTGCGCCTACAGAGGGACCATGGGTGGCTTGCGCTGCACCACCCACAGCTCCAACCACATACCCCATATCCAGTGTAAACCCGAAGGAATAAGACCGGGAGGCATGTGGATGGGAGCCACGTTTCATCAACGGAGCCGGACCATACTCCTTCACAGGCAAATATATGCACGCTGTATTTGGGGAATCATGCGCACACAAGGCGGTGGCTGGACCATAGTCCGCTCCACACTAATTGCATGGAACCGCTCTTTGAGCCTAGCACGACCACAAGAACCGTGCACCCCGTCCCCTCCAGCAACGACCAACTGTCTCCTGGAGCCAGTATGAACGATGTAGTGGGTAATAGACAGGTAGGCACCTTGTCAACATACACATCAAGCGCAGCCACATCGGGGATATCAAGCAACAGCTATTCACTTTAAACGACAAGCTGAAATAAAATAAATCCAATAATGCATACAGATACGGTGGCATAACTCTTCCCTAAATTACCACATGAAGTAAGTTGGTTAGCGACGAATCCGCGATAAGTAAGGAATTTCCACAGATCACTTAAAAATGCTACAAACGCAACAAAATTACCGAAGATAAGCGCAATTAGTGTAAGCAACGTGGGCAGTCAATAGAACATTATTCAGGGAGGCAGAACAAACCAAATAAAGTGGAATGAAATGTATCCAGCTTAAAAAGACCTAGTTTAGGTGTAAGTTGGTATAGCCCAACTGCGGTGAAGAAGCCTCAAGAATGCAACATCAACCATATATATATATATATATATATATATATATATATATATGTATGGCGGGCGAGCCTATGGTGCGCTGAGGCTGGTGGTGGCTAGATCCTCGCAGAGAGTCTACCCACTGCTGCTACTGTTGTGCCGTGGGCTCACGTCCTGGGCACCTCGTCGTGGCGACCGCTGGGTGGGAGTTGGGTTTAGCTCTTCTCCCTGCAAAGATCCAGGACACCAATCCGCATGAGTCAGTGAACTAACCATGTTCTAGACCTGATGCCTTTCGGGTGTACATTTAATCGAAGGCTTTGGCTGAGGACCCGAGTCGTTCTCCTGTCAGGTATGGGCGCCCTGCCAGTATCCTAGTCCATTCTCTTCAGAGGTTAGGAAGTGGTCGATGACCCTCTTCCCGTAAAACCTAGGCAAGGGAAACAACTAGTCTACGGGTTATAAGCTCACAGCTCGATTGGCGTAGAGCACGAGCGCTACGCATTATCTCTGATGGTGGGAGGGCGCCTCCTGGTGTTCAATGGTTTGCTACTGCCCACCATAAGCCAGGCAGCCCCTGGTCAAAATGGTGATACCCATACCGCCATTTTTAACACCATACTACCGCTCGCCCCATTTCGTGCCAATGTTTCCACCCATTTTTGCATACACCCCGTATTTACTCCAGTAGCGTGTAATTGCTTTGCCCTCTGCTTATCCATCCGTTTTCATATACCTCATTTTGTCGTTTTGCTTGTTCGGTTTGCATCAGTTTAAACAAATAAATAAATATTCACTTTCGGTATTACGCTAGCCTGTTCTTATATGTGGACTGATCATAGCGCTGATCAGTTGTTCTGATAAATGCGGATACATCGACAAGTCAACTATTGTTTATGTGTTGGTATAATTTAGTTATTCATGAGGATGATAGTCCATCAAGCTCTCCTCGCACGTATTCTAGGGCGACGCTAAATTGCGTGCACGTAAGCAGGGGAATGGAAACACGTTAAGCATGAAGGAGGAATTTTATCGTGGATGTAAGTTTATTACCATACGGACATTGTTAAGCAATCCGGACGAGATTCCACATTGCTATCGATGGCGTTCACTGTGCTTGGCTATTTTCCGCTTGCTTTTTGCCATCCATCTCCTCCTTCTATTGCGCTTCTTCCAGCGGTTAGCAACCTGATTCACAATATGCAGTATTGCCACGTGGCTCCGACGCATCACCATCGTTATGTATTTTGCCTAACTGACGCTTGCGTATTTGTCTTTTAGATCTCTTTGTGGGCTTAAGCTCTTACAGCGATTGCTCGTTTCAGCCATGTCTAAGATTGAGAGTCGATGTGCTTGATAGAAATCATTCAGTTCGAGTTCACTTCTCATTTGCTGCTTCTTTTCTCCCCCCCCCCTTTCGCTTGCAATTACTATACAACATTGTATCCTTGTTTACTACGAGGATGTGAAATCCTACCTCGACAATTCGGAATGTTTCGACATCTTTACTAATGATTAATATGGACACTTGCGAACATTTCCTTTTAATTACTTATGCGTAGTGGAATTTGGTAAATAATCAAAGGCTTAGCCATACCAGTATTTAAAAGGCTGTGTGGATTCACGGTATCGACAAGGGAAGTCCTGACATCTGACGGCCAACCACTGCCCCCTGCACGAGCGGTAATTTTCATGTCAATGGACGACGGGTCGTTTTATAACACATTTAGATTTCAATCTATGATGGTCAGCTCTCGTCCACCATGGTTCAGCCGCATAAGCTGCTGGCTAATGACGCAAAGCTCCAGCGTTCATGGATCCTATTCCCTGAACGTGCCCGAAGAAATAGGCACCAATGACGGGCCGTGATGGGGCGAACTGATTTTCTGGTGTTCTGGATATCTTTGAACATATTTGGAACTGATCGGGAAGTCATATTTTCAGAAGCCTAGGTAGAGGACCGGTTAATATATTTATGAAAAGATCGTCTGGTGCTTTTCCGAACTTGTAGCTAACCTTTCTGGTTTGTAGTCGGATTGCAATGAACTAACTAAATTTCTTATTAACTTCATCTGCTTCTGCACACTTATCGGCCCTGGCATTAATGATCACAAGCCTGCTTTGTAATCCTAAGGTCGCCTATTCGAGCCTGTGTAGAGGACCGGGCAACCCACGCACGACTGGTGGTGATTGCACCGCAATGAGGCGTCGGTACTGCGTACTGGCGTATTACGGATAGCGTTTCATGTGCTTGATTGGTGATTACTATTGTATTTTACTCTCCTCCACACAGTCATATCCTTGGTTGTGTCTTGGTCACCCCGCCATCACTACGGATCCCGGTGGAGAATTGGTCAAATGGGAAACAGGTTACGTCTGGTTTTGTTGGGTGGAACGTAACATATTGCTTCCTGTCATCACCGTAGTGACCGTCACCAGCGCGATGGCCCCTCTTCGTTCCAAATTTGGACTTCAGTGAGTCTATTTTGCTTCCCTCCGTCAATCCAGTGAGTGATGCTTCTGAGTAGCCATAACATTATACGGAATTCCTACTGCAGTTGCTTATCGACATTTCAGTATCACGGAATTTCGCAACGCGACTGGACCTTAAAGTGGTGCGACGGTTTGTTTACCACTTTGAGCTGTACTTGGTGGTGCCTCCTGTCCCCTTGAGAGGTGCTCCTATCAGGTTCGTCAATAGTTAGAGGTCAGACAAACTCAGTCTAGTGGTCTTCCAGGTTGGGCGTTTGAAATGGGATGACGTCCATTTCTGTAAAACTAAATCATTGCCACCTCCCCGCTGCCTTGCGGACAGGCATTTGGGCCAAGGGCTTTGGTTGAGGACCCTACTCGTCCTCCTGTCTAGGTCTGGGCACCCTTGCAGTATCTCAGCCCACATACAACTATGACTTTTTCTTCAAACAAACTTCATCCTGCATCGGCCATCGCGCGGATTATGATGGCTCACCTTATCTGCTGTATACAGCAAGGCGGATAAGCGAAAACATGCTACTGCTGGCGCCTCCCTTCTTTCTTTTCCACCTGTTTCTCTTACTCCTATCCCGAGCCCCATTACTAACCTTTCTTCTATAATTCCCAGCAACTGAAGTGCCACTGGAGTAGAACCATCGGCATCTACCTCCCACATTGCCCATCGGATGCTTATCGGCAACTGCCCCTTATAAGGCCACGCTGTGCAGTTTCCATTGCAGCGTTCAACGGTCGCACTCTAAGACAAATAGGTCAACTGGCTGCACTCGCACGCACCTTGGACACACTGATTATTGAAGTGTGTTGTGTGTCCGAAACTATGAGCAATCAGCTTATGGGGGTTGTTGAATTAACTGCACCCATCTTATCCTCTCGTTATTGGTTGCACGCATCCGGAGACACCGATGCAGCGCCCACTGGTCAAGCTGGTCTAGGTATCATTCTAAGCTCCAAGGCTGTGAGACATCGTTGGTTGATTGGATTCCGGTGAACAGCCGTTTATGTGCAGCGCGTTTGACGACATCAGCTAAGGTGGATTCACGAAGTAATACAAAACCCTGTTTGTTTGTGATTTCCGTTTATGCTCCCACTGACTGCAGTTCTAATGCTGTCAAGGACATATTCTATCACGAACTGAACGCGCTACTACGCAGTGCTACTAGTTCAGATATTCTAGTACCTGCGGAGGATATGAATGCACCAGTAGGGCGTCTGGGCTCTTCAGAAACTCAGCTGGGTGGTACTTATGGGCCTAACTCCGAACTGACTGACCACGGTGAGCGTCTGCTGTAACTGTGTGCGGAGCACCAACTGTTTCTCAGTAGCACTGCTTTCAGACATAGTGGGCACCGAAGTGCCACTTGGCGTCCTCCTGTAGCTGGCTAGCGATGAACCCAAATTGATCACATTGCCAAAATTTACAAGTGGCGTGGTTCCATCCTGGATTGTCTTTTGTTATGGTATACTTGCGTCGACTCTGATCATGTCTTACTACGCTGTCGCTTATCAATGAACTTTACCGGGAGGCGCACCAAGCGTCTTCTTTGATTGTTTACTGAGAAGTTATCCCTGCGCTCGGTCAAGCAAGCTTCCCAAGTTGCACTGCGTTTCGAACTCTCGCTCCCTTGTCATAATGGCACTAAGCTCCAGTGAAATAGTATCTCGGTCACCGTGCACGATGCAGGAGCATCTGCTTATGGTACTATCAGTCGTCACCGCACCAGTCACTGGATATCCGAAAAGTCGGTGAACCTGTTGGAATCTAAAAGAAACCTCCCGGCTGGCTCTGAACACAATGTGACCAGACGGGCTGTTGGGCACGAACTAAAGCGGAGCCTGCGTGCTGACAAGGAAGTCTGGTGGACCAGTACGGCTCAAGAAATGGAGGAGGCAGGAGCAGTAGGCAATTACCGCAAGCTCTTCCAGCTTCGTCAGTGCGACAATCAGAGACAGCGCGGGTGCGCTGATACACAATAAGGAGCGCCGTATGGCTTTTTGGGCGGAACACTTTCAAGATCAGTTCAGTTGGCCCCCTGCGTCCGGACGTCTTCGTACTCAGGTGATGCAGGACGAACCATGACCGGTTAGTTTTTGGCCTCCGTTGGAGACCGATTTCCGAAACGCCATCACAGCCCTCAATCATTTTCGCGACACTGGCCCGGATTCCCTCCCATCTGCACTAGTTAAGGATGGAGGTGAGGTCCTCTGCAAAGCACTGACCTCCCTATTTGAACGTATCTGGAAGGAAGGGAGTGTCGCGGCTAACTGGAGCGAATCAATTATAGTTTCAATATACAAGAAGGGCAGTCGCACAGACTGTTCTAACCACAGGGGTATTAGCCTAACGCGAGATGTGTCAAAATTACTGGTCTCGATTTTCGTTCGTCGCCTCACTGTGGAACGGGAATCTCGGATTAGGGAAGAGCAGGCAGGTTTCCGCCCAGTACGTGACTGTATAGACCATATATTCACTCTGCGGCAGGTGCTAGAGCAGGGCCTCGCATACCGCAGGCCAACAATAGCTGTGTTCTTTGACTTCAAGAGTGTGTTCGCTTTAGTTGATCGTTACTTTCTGCACGAAATACTTGCGCGGAAAAGTGTTGCCATGAACTACGTGAACACTTTACGTGCTCTTTACTTAAACACTACAGGCGGCGTTAGGGTCTGCGGTGACCTGTCTGATAGATTTCCGACCACAAGTGGCATTCGTCAGTTTTGTCTATTTTCCCCACTTTTGTTCAACTTCGTCGTGGTCTGTATTTTGGAATGTTCCTTTGAGTATTCTCACGATGCAGACGTTGAGCTGCTTCCTGTTGAATGGCTAGTGGATCTTGAATATGCTGTCGATATTCTCTTGTTTAACGATGTTGGGGTGGCACAGTCAACCCTGAATAACCTGTTAGAGGGATTCCATAATTTAATATACGCTTCGCACCTTCGAAGTTCAAAGTGTTCCTGCAGGGCCACCAACCACTTGATGATCCCATGAACCTGGATGGCGAGGAACTCGCGATAGTTGATCAATTCACTTGCCTTTGCAGCTGTATCAGCAACGATGGATGTAAACCTACCGAAGTCAGTTCGCATATTCCAAAAGCCACAGCTGTGTTTTTGAATGTGCGACATCTTTGGTGACAGAAGTGGGTTCCCTCCGTTTGAAAGGCTCTTTTTTCAAGGCCACAGTGAGGGCCGTCCTACGCTGTGGGAGCGAGACTTGGTCCCTTTGGTCTGAAGATCTGAGGCGCCTTCAACTCTTTGATCATCACTGTCTACGGAGCATTACTTGTCTCGAGTGACACCTGCGTTTCCGTAATGAGGATGTGCGTCGTGCCATTGATAAGCAGTGACACACAAGCTAGTCTCTTGGAACCACCGATACTCCTGAATAAGTTGTGTTGGCTTGGGCACGTATTACGTATACCCAGTCACCGCTTACCTAGGAGGGCTTTGTTTAGTCTGCCAGATGTTGGGTGGCGCAAGACTCACGATGGATAAAGGTTGGCTTGGCAGTAGGAAATCAAGTCGCTGACGACCAAACTTGGTGCCGTCGGTCCGTCTGGCCTTCCAGGCTAGAGTCCACGTGGCTTGTCTTTTGCTTGGCTCGAGACTTTACAAGACATGGCTCGCAGTCGACACCAGTTGCGCGTCTGCTGCCGTCTCCTAATCAGATTGCCTGTTTAAAGTGTGTTTGGTGCTGATTTATCTGCGGACTAATCTCTGATTATGGACACGGGGCAGTGAAAGCCGCAAGGAAGCTGTCTCACCGACGCCGCCTTATCTTTGCACGACTGTCAGCTGTCTGTGAAGGTATGTTGTTGACAATGTTTAGGCGTCTTAACCCTGGATGTTTGCTTATGGCACTATTCTTCTTCTTCTATTCTTCTTCTATTCTTCTTCTTCTTCTTATTATTCTTCGTTCCATAGGTCGTTACGGTTGTATGGCAGCGAAGCATCAGTTCAAATGGCTGACGTACTGGTGTTGTTGGTGATTATGTTGATTAGTGTCTTTTATAACAGACAACCTGTAAGCTTACACTACACTTGCGGCCTGTGATTGATTGAAGTATTCATCTTTTGTCCATGGATTCCCTGACCTGCTGCGTCTCACTAGCAGGCTCAGTGTCTCTAGTTCTGTTTTTTTTTATCAACTCTGGTTTGTGTTGGGTTTCTGTTCTTTCCTTTGTGTTTCAAGTCCATCACGACCAGGAGTAAGCTTAAGGTACTCAAGACTGGTAGGTATGCACCCGTAGCACACATACTTTCGGCACTGCATAGAGAAGAATTTGCGACCAGAAAAAGGAACTAAGTAACCCGCGTGATCAGTGTAATATGGCTACAATTCAGGCTTCTTTGTTAACTTCTGAGGTTTTGGATTCTTATCGCACAAAAATGCATTGGATTTTTTTTGACACACGTCTAGGTAAGCACGTGTGAATGTGGATACGTGTATGCTAGCAGACAAAGTTGCTTTGTTGGACAGTGACTCATATAGCTGACTTGTGTCGGTAAATATTTTTGAAGCACGCTTTAGTTAAAACTGACACGAGTGGATGTCAGATTCGGAAATTTGCTGCACGGAAGCGTTTACTTCCTGACCTGTCTGATATTTCGAAATATCTACTTACTAATGAGGTGACACAAATAAAGATAAATCGCAGTGTCAAGTAGCGTGGGGCATAGGTGGATCACAACCAACAACTTAGACAGAAAATCTGACTTTTGTAAATATCTCATTCGCATCTAATAACCAAGCGAGATCTTGGCTGAATGTGACACCTAGATGCTTTACTGAGGTGGAGAAATTCATCACTTCACCATTAATGCAAACTTCAGGCGATGCCGTGAGGAGCTGCCAATAACAGCCTTCTTTTGTTGCGTTATCGAATTTTGATTTGTTAAATGATGATGTGGCGGGGGATTTGGACCACAGCACAAGTTTGTCCGCAAAGGCTTAAAGCTTGCTATATATGGCTATAGTCTGGTGTTTAATGCCCAATCTCACTTTGTCAACAATCAGTTCTAAACTAAGTAGGGAGGCGTTTCCGGCAGTATGGCTTGCCAAAGAACATCGGTGGCTGTGATGATCGGCGGAAATAATTTATTTCGAGCCACATAGACTACATGTTTAGTAGGCGGTGCAAGATAGGATCCCGGCGTCATGTAGATCTCTTAGAAGCATTTCTCGGTTTTCACAGCCGAACGCATTAATGGTGTCAAAGAAGCATATTTAATGGATATTATGTTTTTTATCAAGCTACGTCGGCACCGAGCATTCAGCGAGTTTATGTTCTTCAATGTACGTACATAGATCGGCAAAAGGCTGAATCAAAGAACCAGCACATTGCTTAAGGACGGTGGGAAATGAGCACTTTCTCGCTATCGATTGGAGATATTAAGTTTATAGATCAATCCAATCGGGTGAAGGAAGGGTCGGAAATGCAGTTGTCATTGTAACAAATCCAATTCTGAATTAAACACTTTTCTAGTGACCACTTAGTTTCTCAGTACTCTCCAGTTCCCGACAGTTGTTATTTTTAGGCATGGCTTGGGGGTATATGTGGTTAAGACGGCGCAGCTTCTCCCTGCTAGAAATAGAGGATATTTGACTAAAACGTGGTCTTCACTTCTATCCTCTACGCAACCATTTTGGGTATGGGGATGTGAACCTCTCCGCATTTTTAAAGACAATCTCCCACGAATAGACCATATCAAACCAGAAGTTAGATGGTTCATCTGCTGTTCACAGTACGTAGATACATTCATCAAAAAATATTAAGGTTTGTTGATACAACCATCTTCGGTAGTCGATCTATGTTTCGCAATGAACAATGCCTCCGTTTTGAAGATGCGGTCTTCCAAATGCGTAACCTCTATTTTGTTTGTCTTGCTGTAGACATCCTGGGATTACTTGACCTTCAAGTGATCAGAGATTCCAAGCGACATAAAATTGAACGCACTAAACAGCTTTGCATTATTCATAAATGTACCAGGTCTAGCGTTACTTCAGGCCTGGTGGGGGAGCATTTATTACATCCTGTAGCCGGAGATTTTTTGAGAAAAATGATGTCACGTTTGTTGAACCCCATCAAAAATGCAGAGTGGATAAGCATGGTGATCGATGACACGACATGTTGTAAACGCATTGGGAAGTTCTGCCTCAGAGGTTTGAAAACCGAGGAAAGTATAAATGTTAGCCGCAATCATGGAGTGACATTCGCTTGAACATCGTGGTTTACACTTCAGTAATAAGGAAGCAGTGCATTGTGGAAAGATGCGAATCATGCTTGTCGTTGACATGCACACGGTCGGTCCATGTGATGTCAAGTAGCTCCTTCAGTCACCAAATCCGCTTCGTCCACGTTTGCATAGACCCGGGTCTATTGTATCATAATTACGCTTTAACACATCTTAGAGTGTTCACAACAGCAGAGTGTACTTGTACTCTCATTCACTTTACCGGGGATTGAGCGATTGTTGTCGCTAAATGTATGCTTATGATTCCCAATCTTCTCTCAAAACTGCAGCCTTCCATCCAGAGCAATGTCTTTTAACTGTCATTATGTGTATATTTCAAGGTCTCGTGAAAGCAAATTATCATAGCATTAATTGTTAGATGGTTTGCTTCAGAAAACCAAACAGTACTGCTGAATCGTGATAGCTTGTTATCCCATGAGGTGGATTGGAAGAGCAAGATAAAGTATGAAAGCCTCATCCTATGTGCACTTTTTCTGATTTGCTTATTGTTTTCTGAATTACCATCATGCTGATCATTGTGCAAACCACAGTCTTGACCGACAACTTGGTGTGGTTGAGCATTTACTTTCCAGATTGCCACTTCAGTCTTCACCTGTTGCTATCCCAAAGCTAGCCCACCACTCGATATTTGGACACAAGGGAATCATCGCGCTTTCCTTATTCGTATTCGTGAATGTTTCCGCAGCTGTTTTACGCCCGACACAGAGATCTCTCTTTCTTGCGCCGTCTTTCTCTCTACACTTAACACTGTTCTAAGCGCATTTCACTTCTCTGTTTCAGTTGGGCCACTATTATTATCCTGATCACCAGCATGAAAATGTTACGCAATGGATTCTCTGCTGCTGGCCGCGTGTTTCTGACGCTCTTTTTCACCGAATTATTCTTCATTTTCGACTTTAACTATGCATCAGAAGCCTTCCCTCTCAATTATTTTCTAATGTCAATTCTCGTACCCCGAGTAAGTGCGTTACGAAGTCACACGCGCACAGTCACTTTATGGATCGTTCCATTTCATACCAATTTCCGTGTACCCGCGTCTCCCATTGGTATGTGTTACATGATCGCTCTTATCGATCATTTGATTGGTTCCAAAGCGTTTGCCTTGATCTATTCGTAGTAGCATACGTCCCCCAGTAAACTTAAACCGAGAATCGCAGTCATACGAATGTCCAAAAGACACATCCACTGCATTAATCGTTTATCTGACACTCCCCTTCCCTACCAATGCCCAAGTTGTGAGCAACCTTTTACTGCGGAATGCTCCGTATTTTTGCGAAATGGATTGCATCTGTCGCCTTTAGGATTGTTTTCCACTACCCTTAACCATTACTGATTCCAATGATCACCGCATATCCACGAAGTCGTCCGGGTCGCGTTTTGCTTCTGTCCTCATCAAGCCAGTTTATTTCGTTCTTTACACCGATAAAGTCGTTTTTCTCTCTTTTTTGTGTAATTCATTATTATTAAAGATTCTGAACTACTTCATCAAAAATACGTGTACCAGTTTATTCTAGTTCTTACGATTCTATATTACCTTGATTCATTCATATCGATCGGTATCTGCTCTTGAAATGGCTAACCAGACTCTGTGGTAGCTGTTCAAACGTGGTTGGTCATCGCACAAACGCGGCATAAACTTTTATATTTCGTGCATCGGTTTATCCGTTGACCAATACAAAATTCTGTATGCTATCCAGAATGATTTTGCCCAAATTTTGTGTAATATATGTCAGCTTAAAATGCGATCATCTGCAGTCGATAGAACAGATGAGCAAATAAGACAGACGACACGTTCCATAACAAGGAGCTCTGTGGTTTCTTCCCATGCGTCAGAAACAGAGCCACACCTAGTTCGGGATGAGCCCAATTCGTGTTGCCCATGGGACTTTAGGTCGTAACGTGAGAGTACACTTAGGTCTCGTACGAAAGGCGCATGATGCAACGGTTGACCTGCCACTGTGTAGGTTTAACTGTGCTCATACTTCCCCAGGGTTTATCGGAAGGTTGGCGTCTGAAGACCACGTGGAGAGGCGGTCGAGGTCCTGCTGACGTAGGTCACAGTCATTGGGTGCACTGATTACTCTCCACATCTTCAAGTCGTCTGCGAACAACGCACAACATTATTGGAGTAGCTGAGGCACATCGTTTACATGGATCAGAAACAAAATCAGCCCCTGTACAGTGCCTTGGAGCACGTCACTGCTCGATGGATACCAGTCGGTCAAATGGTTGTCGACCTGGACCCTCCACTTTCGATCAACAATGAAATTCTTGCTTCACTGATGCAGCGCGCCGCCAACACCGCGCACCCTCAGCCTGTCGAGGAGCACTGCACGATTCACCTTGACATAAACCTTACTGAAGTCACTGTAATTGACGTCGACCGACTTGCCTTGGTTCAGCGCTTGCAACCACTCGTGCCTCGTCAACAATAGGTTGGTGATGCACGAGCGACCTTTCACGAAACCATGCTGTGCGGACGTCAAGAGGCTTTTCGACTCGAGAAGCTGCAGAAGGCTCTTCTTCACGATCTTCTTGAGCGTCTTTGTCAAAACAGCGGTCAGGCAGATCGGCCGGTAGTTATCCACTTTGCTTAGGTTACCAACTTTCGGTATTGTGTTTACGACTGAGCATTTCCAGCCGCCCGGTAATAATCCAGTGGATAGTGACCTGTTGAACAGCTCAGTTACAGTAGGCGAGATGATGGCCGATCGGGACTTGAGAATCAGTGGGTGGATTCCATCTTGCCGGGCAGCCTTCATCCCGTCAAGACTTGCCAGAAACTTGCGTACGTCTTCAATGCTGCAATCCAGGCTGTCTAGTTCAGCGGGAGCGGTACTCGTCGAATTCGTTACAGACATCTGATCACTTGCAAATACGGAAGCAAAGTGTGCTGCGAATGCGGACGCACGATCTGTGCTCGAGGTTAGGGACTGTCCATCTGAGCCTTCCAACACTGGAACATTGGCTGTAAGCCTCAGACGCCGCTTCATGTAGGCGAAGATCCTCATGGGAGCAGTTTTTGCGACGGTTGCAAGCTGCTCTTCGAAGCTTTTGCGTTTTTTGTTTTTGGCATTGTTGCAGAGATTTCGCTGTACCTTGTACTTGTTGTAGTCCTCATCAGAGCCAGATAACACGAATTCGTTCCATAGTTTGCGTCGTCGTCGTCGGGCCAGTTTGCTTTACTCCTTGTCGAAGAAATGTGGTTTGACTGGCCCAACTTTCCGATACTTGAGGGATGCGAATCGGGCGCACAACGATTTCACTCCCTCTTTAATGATAGTCCAACAGGTTTAAATAGACGAATCCTCTGTTCCTGATTCTGAAATGCTTTCTTGCAAACGAACTTTTCAACATGATTGATTCATTTGTGGTTACCACACCTTACGGTTTTTTATGCACGAGGCATCTAGGGTTGTCACTTTTTTCTCCCTTATCTTCATGTCCGCTTTTTTAATACACTTTTTTTTCTATTTTCAGTTCATCGAACTTGTTCTCAAACTACATTTCGTCTACATCTACACGGCCCCATTCAGGATCACTTGGGGCTCTGTCACACACGCGTTAGTCCAAATCGCCTCAATTCCACGTATCCTTTTTCCATCACATTTCAATACCTATCTTCATCATTCTCAGTTTTTTTATACTTCACTACACATCTAAGTGTGAGGGATTTATATTCGGACCACTCTCTCTGCTGTCAGTCTGTAACGTGATTGGCAACTTTTGCTTCTTATTTTTTTGTCACTATGGCTGCAAACAGCCCCAGAACATTCATTGGTGTCTTGCGCTGAACCACTGGCAACTCATCCCACGCGCGACGTGAACCCGAAATAATAGTGCGGTGGATACGAAGCAGTATTGAATCGAAGCCGGTCCACATTCTTTCAGCACTATGTAAAATTGGGGATAGCAAACTTGCCAGATGGAGCGTTTCATAATGAACCACCTTTGACAACTTGCACTATTACGAAGAGTGCACCGCTTCGTTCTGCAGCAGAGCGATTGGTGGCATTTATATCTATCTTGAATCATTTTTACTTTGCCTAACTGAAATGAACGATTGCACTGTCCATCACATATTAACACTTATCTTCTTGAATTGATATCTCAGAGCATTGATTTCGTAGTTTCAATTTTAAAAGCCAATGAAGGCTGCTAAATGACATCATTTCGAGTTTTAACTTCCCCCCCCCCAGTTCACCTACTTACGGAATCCTTCAATCTTTTGGGAATGTCCCTCTTTTGTCCTGACACTTCATACCCGCCTCCCCACCTACACGTAAACCAGTGTCGCTATCAGATTTCGCACGCTATACTTGTGAGGCGCTTTTTTACTGTGGCATGCACTCTGCTTTTATCAGAACGCAACGCGTAATTTGCTGTTCATTTTTGTCTGTTGGATGCATTGTTTGTACTTTATACCTGTATGAACCGGTTATTCACATCTTGATTTTTTATGCTGTCTTGTTTTCCCCCAAGCCAGCTGGAAACTAGTGGGTTTACTTGCACACAGTACATGTTTTCGTTTGGGCTCGTTAACTGTCGTGTCAGTTCGCATTACTCTAGCTGTGCTATGAGCAGCTAGCGCTGATCGATCTCCACTGCTGTTCCGCACTTTACAAGACACGATAGCGACGAACTAACCATCTTTTCCCCAGTATTCTCTTTTCTTTTACTAACTAAATAACCCATATACAACCCTACTTCCACCACCCACACGGTTGTTTTGTTGCGGGTGTTTACTTTCTCTCATTGTTTCTCACTTGCTATAACCTCCCGTTGCTACCGCATCATTGTTTGACATGTGCCCTTAATCAACCACTGACCTATACGCACATCAGATATGCTGTTCGTTTTGGCCAACTGCTTTCTCTCCACTGTGTTGTCCTCGCCACTGGAACCTCTCCTGGCCAGCGCTGTGTTCATCACTTCTTACGCGCGACCGATCAAATTTTGGGAGGTCACTCATCAGTAAGTTTTCTAGTGCTCATTGTGAATATACCTTAAACTTATTTCTCCTTCACCCCATATTGCAATTTACCATATTCTTGGCGCTGGAAATTGTCTATAGAACATTCTTCATCGCATCCCGTGGTTTTTCGCTTCTTTATTTTTTGGTTTTCTAGGACAGAACGTATGGAGACAACCAATACTGCATTGGCAGCTCAGATGCACGGTTTGTCAGAAAAACATGTCATGCTCAATCTGAATGCAATCTTCTACGAGCGTCTTACTCGTAGCCTGCAGTTGGCCCTTGCCGGCGACATCCAACTGGGCCGTTTGGGTGGACTCACAATCAGTCACGGGGATGTCTTCATACTTGGCTCGGAGGATCTTAATTTTGTCATACATATTATTGAGGTGGGGAATGGCATTGTATCATTTCAACTCCGTGGCCTTGAATTCATGGGTACGTCCCCGTTTGAGATCGTCGAGCTTTGCACATTTTCTCATTCGTGCGGCTAGTGTTGATTCGACCATAATCTCCCTTCCTTTTTCCATCACTCTGTCATACACTTTCAGGCACATATTGCCACGAACATGAAACTGAAGCCCTGCGTTCCTCCACTCACAATGATAACGGGTGTTGTTGCTGCAATCCAGGCCACCTGCCAGGAATGCTCAGCCTAAACGCGGCTCTTCTCATGCGCTGCATAACTTGGCAATTTGTGTCCAGCTCCTACAGTGTAGATGGATATCGGATGACCAATCATAGCGCGGACACTATCGTGCGTTTGAATGATTTACGCAGAATTCTGGTCAACCGTTTCATTCAGGTAGGTGGTTACTATTTGTCGTTAGTTCCCGGACTTACTTTGTGTGTGTGCTTGATAGTATATGCGACCGATTTCAAGACTTGGTTATGAACTAATCAGACGTTTTTCACCATCGTTCGGCTGTACTTTTTGATTTCCGATTTCCAAACTACTGTTTACTTTTCTCAACGCTCTCTTGCTTCAGCGTCACTCCATTTGTGTATCCCAATTCGTTTACCGGGACAAATCGATTCTACCGGCGGCCCTCACGTTTTTGTAGTTCTCAATCACTGTTCCTTCCTCACTCTTTTTTTGCTATTCCCCCGATGTATTGTGAGCAGTGTGTGCCCCACAGTCCGATTATGGAGCTCGAGTAATGTTTCCGTGCATCACCACTACTTCACTCAGGAGATATGCCCTATTTGTTTTCGCCTGAATAGACCGCTGATTGTTTGAGCACACTGATCGCTAAATGTTAGATGCCTGTGGATATGAATCGCGTTTCACACTTGCCACTTATTATCCTCCTCTGACTTGTCAATTGAAAACCGAGCGCTGTCAATCAACAGTCCATCTTCGTCTTGTTACCGGTTGCGCGTTTCACCAACTTCATGTATGTCCTTCAGACTGCCTACTTCAATTAGTAGTAGTTGGTGGAGCAAACTGAAATATCCATCCTAAGTGCACACATTAGGGTCCTGGTATTATCAGTACATGATTTAGGTGCTCAATGTCTGAATCCATTGCTATTTATCTTTCTCGGTATAATCTAGTTAGTCTCGTGGTTCTCACCTTAATTTCGGGCAGAAAACTGACTGATTTCAAAACTTGTTTACAACTGCAAGTGAATTGTTACCTGACTACAGAAGCACTCTCAGCGTAGCACGAGTGGTAGGCCGTTCTTTTGAAACCCGTCCACACTTAGTATCTGCTAGTGGCCCGATTGTGAATCGAGGCTGAAAAGGTGATTTTGAAATGCAAGTTTGTCATCTGCGATTCAGCACGGACGCCGACTGCCCACACTACCCAGTAACCTTATAGTCACAATCATACTGAACCTCAGTTTCATTTTCTCGACTTTGTTCATAGTACACGTTACCTTCTTTCGATGATATATCAGGACTCCATACTTGATCTAACTACCAGTCACGGCTCAATGCTGCATAAGTGTCCATTGTATCCCTCCACATACATGCTACTGAAGCGAAAGGGTCATCGTGGCATCCAGTTACATCCTTGATCGTAATATAGGCGCCACGATTTAGTGTTGCTGGACACATATACTTACCTTGTTTGAGAACGGTTTCAAACTCCTGCGAAAATTGTATCACTCTAATCTCTATCCGACCGGAAAATTGCATATTGATCCTGCATCGTTAGTATTTGAAGCGGCCACATTTTCCTAGGTGTCGCCGATCACTTCCTTCTGAACCACTTTTGTTCCCGAACTGTTCTATTCATGACCGCATCTGTTTCATTCTGCTGCTTCCCAGCGGCTCTTTGAATGATTTTACTTTGTGTAATATTCTGCGGTGCCTTACTTGAGTACGCCAGTACTTTCATGACATCAATTAGTCCGATTCATAGCAATGAGACTGGACCCCTTATCCGTTTGTGTGCCTCAACCGTTAACCCATGTATGCGGTTTTTGCACCTTTTGAGTCAATCGTACAAGTTTGCTTAAAGATTGGAGGCCAGACGAACTCCTTCCCGTGGTCCTCCAGGTTTTGCATCAGAGCGAAGGTAGCTGCTTGTACTTTAGAACGGATACCCTGTATCCCAGTGCCAAACTCCCGCTGTTTCTCGGTCAAGTTTTTGAACCAAAGGACTTAACTGAGAATCCTAATCGTTTTCTTGTCTAGGCTTGAGCAACCTGACAGTGTGTTGTCCACAAAATATTGCTAACATTTCCTCAGTCAATTTTTTGTGGCTCTAGATGTCACGGAGAATAATCAAAGGTGCCTTGTCCGGGGGTGGATATCGGTGAAGATGCTACTGTTCAGGTCTTCTTGTCTTCTTATTCCCCCTATTGCGGTTTTTCATCCTTATCTTCCCGCTCCGATTTCATTTTTATCCCCTCATTTTCAACCCACAATTCTCGGCCCTGTACCATCGTGCTTTTAGTTTCAACTCACGCAGTCACGGAGCGTTACTTTCCTCCTATGGATAAGTCCGTGCCCATCCAAACAAGCAAACACAGTTCATCCGATTCTATTTGTTAGCCTGCATGCTCTATAACACTGGCATGCCTTAACGTGCGCGTTTTCTTGCAACTCGGTTAATAGACAGCCCGAACACTAGAGACTCTATCTACAATTATCTGTTGTTTATCGGAAACCCGCCTGCTAGACTCGAGTTCTGTGTTCACTCCACGATTTTCTCTTCACGTGGCACTGGTGACACGTTCTCATTGCATTCTGTCGAGCACTGATGCAGCTTTGCATGTCGGTCTAGTCGGTATGGGCATTGTCCTGAGCCCCCGGGTGAAGCTGCTCTCTTTTGCATCCCATTCAGTAGCCAGCTGCCCGTCGCCAGATTGCCTGACTCATTCAAAGCTTCGAAGTCTTACGGGGCCAGTAGGTCTGTTTGTCCTTACTGCCTACGCCCCCACTATTGTCGATTGACTGAGCTCCTTCGTCATAGAAGAAACGTAGAATACTGAAGTGCCTATTGGTGTTCTGATCACCCAAGTTGGAAAACTGTCCACTAACGAGCTGCATTTGAGCGACGAACGAAGTATAGGATTACGTAATAATTAAAAGTCAGTAGTCTCACACTTAGGTGAGTATTCTTGTTTATCCCTGTCGAGCACTAATTTCCGATCCAACACCCACAGATGTGTGACATTTCACCCACTAGCCTTGGACCAGCGATCAATTACCGCCGGAATGACTACTTCTGAAATTGTCGGTCTATTTGAATCACTGACGTGGACTCCGTCCATGCATTAATATGTGCCTGTCACTTGGTGCATTTCGGCGAACGCCCGCGACGACGTAAGCGCCTTGACACCCGTCAGCTAGTGAAACCGGATGTTCTCAGTGGATCTAAAAATGTTCCTTCTCGGCCGCATGTTCACCAGTTCTTATGCGCCGCATGCATGTGGTCAATTTGATTGCCAACCTGGATATTGGATCTCTACGCACTTTCTGGAGCTTTTGGATGCTCTCTAACATATTCCAGCTACAAGCCGGAGTCCTCAGGGCAAACTGCGTGCTAGCCTGAAGTGAAACCGTGTAGCTTGGTATTCTCATCATTCATCGGAGATGGAAATAGCTGCTCTCCTCCGATACGGGAAACCAGCAGCAGGAGACCTAATATTTGCGAAACTATATGTAAAGAGAGTGGACAGCCTATCCACAACTTGTCAAAATGTTTGGGGCGTTGGAGCGAGTACTTTGGGAAACCATTTAGTCGGTCAGAATTCAGCTTTATTGCAGGACATTGATCGCCTTGCTCCCTGGACTATTCTTTGAATCTGATCGCTCGCTTGAAATTGAATAAGCCAGCTGGACCGAATGAAATTCCTCCAACTGGCGGACCTACTCTAAGGGAAGCTTTACACAATCTATTAGTGGAACTGTGGGAGCAAGATCAGTCTTATCTCAGTTGCCCCTAAATTGCCTGCCTCTGTCGTTGTCCACAGGCTGACTGGCACTCTTGAAAGCCAGATCCGTGAAGAGCAAGCCAGGTTTCGTCGAGGTCGGGGCTGCGTCGACTACATCTTACATTGCGTCAGTTGTTGGAGCACCGCCATATGTATTGGCGACTCACCGTTGTCATGTTTCTTGACATAAAAGGTGCCTTTGATTCAGTCGATCGATGTGCTGTTTCGGACTCTCTGCTGAGGAAAGGTGTGCTGATACTACGTAAACATTATCGAAGCGCCGTATGCGCGCAGTTCGGGTAGATTGAAGGTTTGTGACAAACTGTCGTCGTCCTTCAATATCAACAGCAGTGTAAGACAAGATTGTTGCTGTAACCTTACCTCTTTAACTTAGTCATGGAAACAGCGTTCGCTGAACACGACCTGGAAGATGTGGAGCTACTTCCAGGTGAGCGACTTCTTGACTTGGAGTATTCGGACGATATTGCCCCAATCTGTGACAGCTCCCAAACGTACCAGGTTGCACTGGACCGATTAGCATTGGCTGTCAATCGCTTTGGATTATGTTTTTCTCCACCGAAATGCAAAGTACTTCTCCAAGATTGGTAGGAACCCACCCCCTGTGCTGACGCTTGGTGGTGATCAGCTAGAAGTACTTGGGCAGCTATATTAGCGTCCTTGAGACGAGATCATGAACCTTATAGCAAAAAGTCGAGGTGCTTTTGCCAATCTCCTCCACCTGTGGCGTAGACGCGACATCACTTGCGCCCTGAAGTGCAGAGTTTATAATGCAGCCGTCCGTTCAACTCTCCTATATAATTGTACAACCTGGCTCATCGGGTCGAGAGACATGAAGAGGCTCGTCACATTCGATCATCGCTGCCTCTGCAGCTTAGCTCATGTCTGGTGGGAACACAGCGTGAGCAATGAGCGTGTTCGGCGTCGCGTATTTGGTGCAGGAAGAGCGAGTGAACCGCTCAGCACGATGATATCACGCATCAAGCTCCGATGGGTGGGCCACGTGTTGTGCATGCCATCACACCGACCCCCGCGACGTGCATTGTTTGTGCACCGGGGGTGCGGTTGGAAGAGGAGGAGGAGCGGCCAAGCAATGACTTGGTCGATTGAAATGAAATTCCTCATTTCGAAGTTAGCGTTAGTTGGTGCACCCCGACTGCCTGGCTGGGGTCCTAAGGACGATGAACACGTTTGGTTGGACACACTTGTTGCTATGGCATAAAGCCGGTTTCAGTGGCGTTTGTGTTGTGAGTTTCTTTGTCCATCCCCTCCCCTTTAGATTCCCCCTCCAATCCCGATCTCATACAAAACGCATAATATAATATTTAACATCATATTACTTGCTTGGAATCTTTTTTTGTAGTGCAACTTTTTTAGACTCTTGTCTTTTTGAATT